AAAATCCCAGGATGTCTTTCAAAAGAGTAGGGGTGTAACCCCGGCATCCTGGCCAAATCAAATTTGCCCAGTGGCCTTTGTATATATATGGAGATGATTAGGAGGCCATGATGGAGATTCCCCTCTCTATTTAAATAAATGTAATGAATTAGTATTATTAATTAAGTTATGCAAAGGACTAGTCACATCTGGTCCTAACTGCTCTTCACCTGGTGAGGTGTCATTTGGGATCTAGCTCTATTTTACAAAGAGGCCAAACATTTGAAATGATACTTGGCCTCTAAAGCCAACATGTCACCTCCACTGAGCTGTGCCAGAAGATTGATGTCATTGAGGACAATGGCACACTTTCGAACTTTTTCATCAATTTGAAATGTAGCAGCCTTATGAAGTCTCTCACTTACCTGCAGGTTCTCTCCACATTAAGTCTTATCGATGTCATCACTGAATGAGGTTTTTAAAACTAATTTTATTCATTTTCTAGTGCCATGCTCATCAGTTGTAGAAGCTCTTTGTAGCATTTGATTGTTGAATCTAAGGCGACATGTATAATTTGTGATATTTTGCATTGTTCCTAATAAATGTGGCCTCTATACCTTGCCCTTTATCTAACTGTGCAATCTGTAAAGATATCGTTGTTTAAGTTAATCAAATTTTAATAGATTTTCTGCCAGATTTTTGTAACGTTCAGTATTGACCTGCCATTGGCAATTTGATGGGCATCCGAGTGGCTCTTGAGTATTATTCTGACAAATGAAACACAGTTCCCAGTCAGTTATTTGTGTTGGGGGATCAGTATATCCAGGATTAAATAATTTGAAGGTTTTAGTCATTGCATTGGATCAAAGTAGTTCTTGTGTAGTGGTCTAATTGTCGTAATCATGCTAATCGTGCTAATTTATGTTTTTCTTGTGAGGAAAACTCGGTCTACAATGTGATTTGTAGGCCTACCTACTAAACCACTTGCAAAAAATCCAGCAGGGCTCAACAGTTCTTACAATTAATATTTATAGTCAAGGTTAGAGCATTTGGAGAGCAAAGAAGTCGTACAAGAGCACAGAGTTACAATGAAATAAATGGGATGAATTGCAGCTAGTTTATACAACCAGCCTAAATGAAATTCTGTGGAAATGTACACCTACTTTATTTCACAGAATCCTAACTCTAAATTCATGCAGACTAAAATTTATTTCATGTTATATTTGCCTGTCTGAGTTATGTTTGCTTACTTGCAGTATTAGCCTAC